GAAAATTCCTCCTTTGGGCGGGTCTGCATTCATTGAGAGCACGAGGGGCCGCTTCCACAAAGCGCGCAAGAAAAGCCGCGTCCTGTCCGCCATGGGCTGCTTAAGCGCGCTGGCATCAGCGACCGGCGGAGCCGTCGTGCACGTCGACGCTCGCAACCCAGCAGAGGCGCTCCGCTTGCGCTTTGAGGACGGCAGCGGCGTGACCGAGCTGGGCCTGCGCCCGGAATGACACGTGGGCTCACCCCGATCTGCAAGTGACCGGGTGGAGATGGCGGTGGCCTCGTCCTCCGACAGCCTCGCCGGCGAGGCCGCCGCGCCGCCGGTCGGGGAGACGACGCCTGAAAGCAGTTCATTCGCACGGCCGTCTTCGCCGCAGTGGATTTGAGCTCCGGCGGCCGGTCGGGGAGAGGGGGACCCTTGCCCCAGGTCGGTGCGTCGAGGCGGGCGAGCCAGGCCTGCTTCGCCTCCTCCTCCGACACCGCAGCAGGTGCACTCACCTGGGAGGCGACCGCCGAGACGGCGGCGGCGGCCGCGCCCCATGCCGGGACGTCGAGGCTGAGGGCAGGAGGGGGGCGGGAGGTGCAGTGTGAGCGCGCACCGGGCTTGCGAGGTGGGAGCGCGGAAGGGAGCGCGGAAGCAAAGGGGAGAGGCGTGCGGTGGAGAGCAGAGTGCGCACCCGCCGCCTCCCACCCGCCGCCTCTCACCCCGCCGCCCCACTTCTAGTGGAGACTAGTGGAGACCTGGCCAGCCAGGCGCGCTTGGCCTCCTCCTCGCGCGACAGAGTGTCGCACGCTGCCTCGACGCCAGAGTCGCAGTCCTCGGTGAGGGCGAGCAGCGCCGACGCCTGTCCCGCGACCTCGCTCATCGTGGTCGACGCCTGGCCCCACGAGGGCGCGTCGAGCCGCGCGAGCCACGCCGCCTTGGCCGCCTCCTCCGTCATCGCCGGCGCGGCCCCGGCTGAAGCGCCCCACGACGGAGCATCGGCGGCAACGCGGGCCAGCCACGCCGCCTTGGCCTCCTCCTCCGTCGTCGCCGGCGCAGCCGCGGCCGGGGGCGCGGCCGGCGCCGCGGCGACGGGAGTGCCGCCCTTCGGGCCCCACGACGGAGCGTCAGCGGCGGTGCGGGCGAGCCAGGCGGCCTTGGCGGCGTCCTCAGACTGCTGCATGCGCAGCGTGCCGACGCGCAGGGCAGGGACTGAGAGCGCGACGAGCAGCATATACACACTCGTTCAGCTGACGACTCTCGGCAGCTCTCTCGCGCGTGATTCCGCGGAAATTTATTTTTTTCTCTGCCTCTCGAGGTTCTCGAGGTGGATATCCTTTGGCCGCGTTGGGTAGCGAGGATTCTCTGCCTCTGTGTGTGTGTGTGCAGCCTACCTAGATTGGGGACAGAGATTTGTTTGTTGTTTGTTGTGTTGTAGATTGGGATGCTTCAACGATTCGATGAACTGGCCCAGCCCCCGTCAACGGAGCGTGCGACGGGAACTCCGATGGAAGGTTGAAGCGAGAATCGGAGAGAGACTGCGAAGAGAGATAGGAAGGAGCAGACTCCCTAGGGTAGGCGACGGCTAGCGCATCACACTCCTCTCCTTAAAATCCCTGTGTGGTGGCGGCGTGCCGTTCTCCCATCCATCCCTCCCTTGGGGTGTCTGTTTTCTTTCTTTCTTTCTTCCGCATCATCGGAGCGTGCGACGGGGACTCCGCACCCGCTCTCCTAGAAGTAAGGCCCTCCCTCCTTTTTTAGCCAGAAAGACGAATTTCGAGACCTCGATATCCTTTGTGCTTGCTCAGGACCTCGAGACCGCCTTGGTTTGTTCCTCAACCACACAAGTTGCACAACAGTGCGCCTCCCAGAGAATCCCTGCTCACACACCGCGCCAACACAGCCAGTCCGCGGACACCGCAGAGAAGCAAGCGATTGCCACGAGGCACACAAAAGTTGCAAACTCGGTGTGCGCACAGAGAGGCCCGCCAACGTTTGCTTTCCACGACAACATCTCAGTGCCCTCATCAGCACATCTGACCTTGCTGCCACCGCAGCTGCCATCAGATCATCCCATGGCCAACAACAGTGCACAAATTCACGCCCTGAGACTCACGCCATCCCGCTTACGCCGCAGAAATGATGATGATCGCCGCCGTTGTTCCAATCCTGTCGCTGCCCGTCGTGGAATCCACCGGCGACCCAGCGCTCGACGCAATCGCGGCAAAGTACGGTGACCTCTCCTCGATCCTTGGCATGCAGCCCGTTGATGGTCAAGGCTCGTGCCCTGCGGGCGATAACTGCAAGGGGTTCTACACATACTCGCACCTTTCCGAGGCGATTGCGAACTGGAACACGCGGTCAGGCGCTGACGAAAAGTTCCTCAACGACCAAGATGTCGAGACCAATGCGCGCACGCTTGCTGCGTTCGTCGCAAACGTCAAGTACGAGACCGCGCTGTTTACCGCGTGCAAGGAGCGGCTGAAGCTCGCTGACGGTACGTGCCCAGCAGGGCCCAATAGATGCAGTGGCGGCAAGGTCGGCGACTACACGAGCGCGAAGGCCAAGGCAAGCGGCAGTTGGACCGTCACCAAGTGCAATGGCCAGACAGCCGCTACGCAGGGCTGCACCGACTTCTGGGGCAACACCCTCGACGGCGAAAATTGCTGGTATGGCCGTGGCGCCTTGCAGCTTTCTTGGCCGGGTAACTACAACAATGTTGCCGCGGCCATCAAGACCGGCTCCAACGTCGACATCTGTGACGACCCGGATGCAATCTGCAACAGCGCCACTACAGCATTCAGCGCATCGATGGCGTACTGGAAGCTGAACGAATCGCCGTGGATCCATGGCAATTCCAACCCGGACTGCATGGCATACACATTTGCGTGCGCGCTTCAGGTCGTGAGGCCAGCTGATACGTCCACGAACAAAGAGCGCGAGGAACAGTACGTTAAGTATCTCAAGGCCATGGGTATTACTGGCCCAGCACCTCCACCGAAGCCCGTCAAGCCGAAAAAGGGCACCTGCACCAACATCAAGTGCAGCGACGGCTCGACCGGCTGCAATGGCTCGACCGGCTGTTGCCCTTATACTGACACCCCGACAGGAACGGGGTTCTGCTCCTGCGGCACGAGCTGGCCCGACGCACGCGACTCCGGGATCTTTTGCAATGCCTGAGCTGCGGTCCTTGGCAGCAATGTCCCCTCATGAAGTCTTCGAGTTCAAACTCGACGCCTCCTTTGTCCGCCATGTGACGATCCTGAACCCTCGCTGTCCATTGCATTGTACTTTTGTGTGTTCACCTAGTGCCTGTGCATTAGTTCACCTCTAGTGTCTGTCCATTAGTCCAGTCTGCTTGTCAAGTGAGACGTTTCAACCGAGAAATCGATGCATTCTAACGAGGAATACCCGCTGTCACCTTTGACTGCTGGGCAAAGCTCGTGTACACCCACGCTCGTCTCGGGTTGGTGGTGCATTCGAGCGAGACCGAATCCGGCACCATTGAAGTCAACGGCATGCCGCTGAGCACCCAGTTACAAAATCACCGGCATCGATTGAGTCAGAGACAGAATGAGGATGGTTCGGCCTCTGCGGTCGATGCGAGAGAGTAGAGCGAGGGCTCGTGGGGTCCTTGCGGTCAAACTGTTTTTTGCGTCTGCACGCTGTTCGCTCCTCGTTGGGCTCCAGTGGACTTTCCTCTTGCCTTCAGGCTGCTTCCCAGACGAGCTGCATTCGGAACCGTCTCTGCGATAGCTTTGATAATTTGGTTTACCACTTTGGGATTGACCACCTGTTACCCGCGGGCATGGGGCCCGTGCTGATGCTCGACACGGATGACATGCTCGTCATCGGAGACGTGGTGGAAGGGCTGTGGAGAAGCACCGTGCCCCAACTCGGGCTGGAGAGGAAGGCGGCGGTGGCCCACCGGAACTGCCGCGGCCACTTCTATCGCCGCTTGCCCCGCCAGCGGGCACTGCGCGACCCACCCCCGCGCCCTCGACCGCGCCCCCCGCCAGGAGCATACCGCATCACCTTCGCCCGCTCCTCGTCGAAGAGCAGAATCTCTCCCGCCTTCACCTGAGCACTTGAGCACTGGATAGGGTCGGTTCCGCGTGGTACGGGACCCCTCCGCCTCCTTCCACCCCTCCACGCAGCCGCCTGTGTCGTTCTGCAGGCACATAAACTGCGAGTCCACAGCACCGGCCCTCCGTCACAACATTCCGGCACAGCGTCCAAAGCGCCGCCCTAAACCTAGGGCAGCGCGCCGCGTCCCATGCCGCCGAAAAGAATTCTCGGACCGCAAACCCACAAAAATAATGCAAGCCTGTCTCACAACACAAAAAGATTTTTTTTCCGCGCGGCGGGTTCCTCTTCCTCATCCCTCCCTTGGGCTGTCTGTTTTCTTTCTTGCTTTGGGTTCCTCTTTTCGGCGCGCAAGGCAAGGTCGGAACCGTCTCTGCGATAGCTTTGATAATTTGGTTTACCACTTTGGGATTGACCACCTGTTACCCGCGGGCATCGGGCCCGTGCTGATGCTCGACACGGATGACAGGTCTGCAGACCACCCGGCCGAACTTCAGAGTCGCGGTGCTCCTCAAATACCGCTCAAACGCCCACGATGTTGTGCAGGGGACATATGCTGATGTTGATCCTGGCCCGATTGGTTTGCTCAGAAAGCTTCTGGGCGGTCGTTAAGGTTCGCTCCCCGCACACCGGCCCGGAAGTATCTTGTTACATCATAGGATGGGCTGAGGGGCGTGTGCGGCGGCGGGCTGGGCGGCGGCGAGGGTGGCAGCGGCGAAGGCGTGGGTCCGCACGCAGCGGGTCGCGCGGCTGTGGTTCGCGGGGGCGGCTTGCTCATATTTCTTCTCTGCGCGGCGCGTCTGCGCGACGAACGCTGTGTTCAGCCGTGGGGCAGGCGGCGGGGTGTCGGAAACGAGCCGTGGCGGGGTGGGCGATGCCGCGCCGCGCCGACGGCAGTGGGGGCGCGGGACGCGGAGCGCGCGGGGTCCCGCTAAATGACAGTTAGGTCCACCGTGAAATCACCTTTACTTATTTTTTGAGCCACTGTGAACCCCGTGGCTCTCTCTTCTTCTCTCCCCCCCGTCCTGACGCCGCGCCAATGGCGCTTAACTCCACATAGGGACAGGACGGGATTGCCGCGAGAAGAGACTCCGACGCGAATTCTGACTAACGGCCAAGTCATAGGTCACCGCCTACCTCGGCCTCACTGTTGCCCATGACGGTCGCAGCCTTCGAGGGGGTGGCCCAGTCGGCAGGGTCGAAAGCCCAGCCCGCCTCCAGTTTCTTTGTGATCCTCGAGAGGACGCTTGTCGGCAGCCCTGCGGTCAGCTCCTGTGGGGTGCACGGCGGTATCGGCGCTTCACCCGCACCCACGTTCTTGTCTTCGTGTGATTGTGTTGGAGGCCCCAGGCCAGGGGAGGCCGGGGTGGCGCACCTTTGCTGTCAGCCGGCCGTTCCCATCCACGTCGCACTTAGCGAAGATGTTGGAGATGGTGTTTCGCATTTTCTAGGGTACGATACTTGACCCCCCCCCTTGGCGCCTCGTGTTTTTCGTGCCAAACCAGCGCGATCTCGGCGGGGCGTCAGCGCCTCTCGGAGGGGCATCATGCGCTCCCGGGGCCGCCCGACGGCGCGGGCCTCTTGCTGATGGACCCAGCCGAGGTGCCCAACCAGTTGGAGTCGCGCCGGCGCGCTGCGGCGACCACCAGCCAGCTTTTCAGCGCGGTCGAGGACGGTGCGCCGAAAGAGTAGACAGTCTCCGGTCCATCCGGAATTTTGTCGTTTTAGTTAGCACTGCTGCTGCAGACAGGGCCCGCGTGACCCCATGCCCTTCCCGGATCCAGCTCGCTGAGGTGTGACGTCACCCCGATGACCGCCCACAGGTGGCTGACGAAGCGCCACTCATCGCTGCTTTCGCGCGCCTGCTCCACAGAGGGCTCCTGCGGCTCTCCCTCGTCGCGTGACCGCCGCCGACATCATGTGCTCGGTCGTCCCCGCCGGCGCGGAGCTGCGCCACGTCGAATTGTTCGGCGGCTCGACCGCCGGCGCGCCCACCCTCGCCTCCTGCGCGCCTCACACCCAGTATTTTCCTCGCGCGCGGCCGACAAAGTAGGCACACGACCACCTCCCTCCCACTCACCCCCCCCCACGATGCACAGCCCGTCCACTCTCGCCGGCAAGGCGCACGGAACGCCCAATTTGGGCTGGAAATGCCGCCGCCACGGGTTGGTGGCGCCCTCGGCAGCGGGGCAGCGCCACGCCGCGCAAACTTGCGCGACAAACTTGCGACCTCTGTCCCTCGTATTCACCCCAGATTTTGCCCTATCCAGGCTCACCCGGTACCGCGAGCGACGAGCCGCGCCAAGTTTGCTCCATTTCCGACAAGTTCATCCCGCCCGAACGCCGATCTTCGGCCGCCTGGAGGCCCAGGACGGGGCTCGGGACCGGCCAGGTGTGGATTCTCCACGGCGCTGCGGTGTATCTGCGCGCCCATGGCGCGTTCAGGGGTGTGCCTGAGGCGTGTAGACTGCGGGGCGCCGCGATAGCGCGGCGCCGACGGTTGTGTCGCGCACTGTCACACCCACGACACGGTCACAGTGTGTGTGCAGTGCGTCCACTCCGGCGACCGTGACGCCGTCGGCGCTCGCCTATACCGGCTAGTGTGGAGCTTTCAGTGTGGTTGCGTGTTGTACTAGTGATGCTGCACTAGGCGGCCCGTTTTTAGCAAAAACCAGATACCACATCGCGTGTGGTCGTCGAAAAACCGCATCTTCGCCCGTCTGGGACCTCTTCGTACGGCTCCAAAAACCGCTCCTTAACGACGGCTACGCGGCCCGGCGGTCGATCTGCGCCTTCTCAGCGGTGGAGGGGATGTGGGCGGTATGTGCGTACCGCGTGGTGTTGCGACGGTTTGACGAGTGCGACTCCCAGCGTCGACTTTTCGACCCCACGGAGCCTCTGCTGCTCCGGGGGGGGGGGGGTCTGCAGACCACCCGGCCGAACTTCAGAGTCGCGGTGCTCCTCAAATACCGCTCAAACGCCCACGATGTTGTGGAGGGGACATATGCTGATGATCCTGGCCCGATTGGTTCGCTCAGAAAGCTTCTGGGCGGTCGTTAAGGTTCGCTCCCCGCACACCGGCCCGGAAGTATCGTACCCTAGACCTGGCCTTCTGTCTGCCCGCCCAATGGGTGGCAGGTGCCTCTGCTGCTGTGGCATGCCTCACGGCTGCGACTGGCCGGCGCCTCGGCGCGTCAGCTCGGCTCGGCGTAGCGATCGTGGCCAGCGCAACTCGCTTGGACTCAACGCTCAGCCAGGAGCTCCCGCACGCGCTGGCGCGAGTCATGGCGCATGCAACGCGTCTAAATGCTCGCCTCGCCTCGCGCAAATGCGACCGTCCTCGCAGCCGACAGTCCACCGCCTGCTAAAGAAGCACAGCGACGAATGCGGCACCGGCGACGCATGGCAGGCTGGTCATGACGCAGTTATAGGGTGTTGTGTGCCGTCAGAGTGACTCTCTGTGTGTCAGGGATAGTCAGGGCCGTCCATCAGAGCTCCAGTAAGCTCGGAGACACCCCATTAGTGCGACTCGACCTCTTTGAGTCACTGCCTTCCCGGCGGTTTGGCTGTAGAGCCTCTACAACAAACTCTACAACAAAATCGCGCTCTACATCGCTCTACAACGGAGGCAGTTCGTCCCGCAGCCGATGTAGAGCTCTACAGCTCTACAGCGCTCCAGAGCGCTCTACATCTCTACATACAGCTCTACAGCGCTCTACACTCTACATCCTCTACACCCTCCCTCAGGCATCCCCTGCTTGCGGGTGGCACTTGCTTGAAGAGTCGTGATTTCTTGTTGTGTTGTTGTTAGGTATATTGTTGGCAAATCATGATTTCTTGTTGGTTAATAAAAATCTCGTGTGTATCGCGCGCCTTGCGGGGGGGGCGCGGAAAAGAGGAACCTCTTAGCGCCATCGCCATGGTGCTGCAAGCAGCGCCGGGCGACGACGACTTACCGCCTCCCGGTCCCCCTCGGCACACCTCCGCTGCTCAATGTTTGACGGCTCGAACCCGTGAAGCTTCCCCGTGCGCGGGTTACCCCGCACACGGGTCAGCCTGCCAGCCACGTATCCACGCAAGCGTGGTCCGCGTGCATGGCATACAGGCGTCCGCCAGACAGCGCAGAGGCTAGGCGACCGGGGAAGGACTAGCTCAAGGGCAACACAGCGTCACCAGCCGTTGGCGCGCAGAACGAGTTTGCGGCCCTCGGTTGGGACGAGATCTCTCTTGCTTGCGCCGCAAGAAGAATTTACGCGCTCGCAAGAAGAATGAGCAAAAAAGATGAAAATGGCGACGAGCACGAGGATGTCAAACAAATCTATCTCGAGGGGACATAAGCCCTCTTTTCCTTCCTTGAGACCTCGAGAGAGTTGTGCAGAGGGTTTATCAGGTTTATCCGAGACACGGCATCTCCCGACCTCAGAAAGGCACCAAGCTGACAGCTCCATCAAGGCAAACGCTCCACTTTCCGCTGCCTCTCGCTCTTGCCCCGCCGCACTGCGTCTCCGATGGCCGCCGCAAGCCTCACGGCTGGATCCCCGCGACGCCTATTGCTCACGGAACCCGCCACGCCCGCACCACTCCCGCCGTGCGATGCGCCCTCGCTCGTCGCGCGAGCTGCCACTCTGCCTCGCACCGCCTGCTCCCTCCCGCTCGCAATGCCGCCGCCGCCATTGAGGAGCCGGGCGACGCGTCCGCTGCTGTCCATTCGCCACCCTTGCCCCGCACTAGCCCGCACCATGCGCATCCCATTTTATGCTGCTGACGCGCCTCCAGCTGGCTCCCGGGCCCGGCTCCAGTCCGAGCGCCGTGAACGCCAGAGAGCGTGCCGACGGCCTCGTCGCGGCGCTCACGCCGCGGCGTGCTGCCCGTAGGCGCGGCTGTGGGCCCTCTCGTCCCTTCCCAATCAAGCAGAGCTTGCTTGACCTTATAACCCATATACGGGTGGAGGGGGTGACCATCAGGGGTGGAGGGTGGGATCGGAGATGTGTGAGATTTGCCCGAGATTTCCGAGATTTCCTTAGATCGTGATCCCGTAGGCGCGTACTTCACTTCCCGTCTTACTGTCCTCCATAGGAACTCATTCGACCGCCTATGCTCGACAAGCTCAAACTCGAGTTCGTGCCGGCCGCCGGTAACCGGCTCGTTATCAAGCTCTCTCCTCCGCCGCCGCCGCATGCCGACAAGCAGGCGCCGCGGAGTAACACTGCGCTCCCACTATACCTGCAAGACTTATCCTCTCGCTTTCTGTGGCTGTCACAGGCGTCGCTGGCGGGCAACACGACCGTCAACGCTGCCGGAGGCGAGGCCGCCGGCATCCAGTCCAAGGGCGAGCCCGCTGCGCTCGAGGACGGCATCCAGTCCAAGGGCGAGCCCGCTTCGTTCGAGTACGTGTTTGCGGCGTCGGGGACGCGCGCTTCGCTCGACTCCTGCGCCGAGGCCTCGCGGCGCCTCACGTTCACCGTCGACGATCCGCCACCTCTGTCGCCGCTCTCGTCCGTCATCGACTCTGCCGGAGGCAAGGCCGACGTCGTCGTGATGGAGGACGACACAGCCAAGACCTACGGCGATGTGGACGAGATCTACTTGTCGTCGCCGCCTTCGCACCTCGAAGCCGAGGTGAGTGTGTGCGCACGCCAGGATTGTCATCATCCCTACGGCCTACCTGTCTCCGAACATGCGTATTCTCCCTCACCCAGGCGTGCGGCATCAAGTCCGCCGCCGCCGAGGAGTCCGCCGCCAAGTCCGCCGCCGCCGAGGAGGACGCCGAGGCGGCCGCCACCGAGAAGGCGACCACCGAGGAGGTCGCCGCCAAGTTCACCACCGAGGAGGAGTCCGAGGAGGCCGCCACCGAGGAGCCCGCCGCCGAGTCCGCCGCCGAGGAGGCCGTCGTTGCCGAGGAGTCCGCCACCGAGGAGGCCGCCAAGTCCGCCGCCGCCGAGGTGTCCGCCGCCGCGGAGGCAGTCGCCGCGGAGGCGCCCGTCGCCGAGGAGGCCGTCGCCGAGGAGGCTGCCAAGGAGGTCGAGAAGCCGGCCAAGACCGTTTCCAACCCGCCCGACCCAACGGTGAGCGCGCCGCAGTATTCTCTCCTGGCACTCCTCCCTTTCCCACCGGTAATAATCTCCCTTCCCGTGTGCCCCTATCGCTCTTTGCAGGACACCACCTGCTACCCGGGCCTGCCCGCGCCGGCGGAGGTGGGGAAGAGCGGGCCCGCGTTGGCCCGCAGCGGCTCCGGACCGGGCTACGTGGACGGCGTCGAGGCTGCAGTCCGCCGGCTGGGCGAGAGCGTCAGCTACCAGGCTGCGCCCTCCGACGGCGAGAAGTCGCCGTCGCCGGGAGTCCCCACCTCCGGCCGCATTGCGCCCGTGGCGCCCAAGCCCCTGAGCGCGGTCGCGGGCGCGGGGCAGGCTGAGGCCGAGGCCGCCAAGGAGCGCGAGCACTGGGAGGGGCGGCTGAAGAAGGCTAAGGCCGCGCTCGATCTCATTGCCGAGCAACGGGAGAAGTGGGCGGACTTGCAGTCGCGGCGCTCGGGGAAGTGCCGGCGCAAGGCCATGCGCTGCCGCAACAACCCCAAGTTTGGCAAGGCAAAGGGCAGGCGCAAGTCTGGCAAGGCAAAGGGCCGCGGCCGCGGCACGCACCGGCGACCGAAGCCGCGCGGCGGGCCGCAGACGCCGCCTTGCAAGTCGCCGGACCGGCGCCGCGAGCCGCAGACCACGTCCGGCAAGGCGCCATTCGCCGCTGGCACGTGCGGCGCCGGCGCTGGCACATGCGGCGCCGGCGCTACTCCCCCCCCTAACCCGGGAAGCAGATGCAGCTGCAATTACGCGACTCGAAGCTACAAAGTTGGCCGATCATCACACAGACGGCACAGAGAACGCAAAGACCGTTCTCAAGATTGCAACCGCGATCGTGCCTTTGATGGTGGCAGTGGGTGGTTTCGATTCCCTCGTCTATCCCCTCCGCTGCGTCGTCCCAGTTTATATCCTCATCCTCTGTGCGCGTTTTCGTTCCCTCCCCTTCTCCATCGTTGTCGCCTCCGTCGACTGCGGCGCTGTCTCTGCCCTCGCCTCCGTCCTCCTCGTCTCGCCTGCCGTCGTCCCGTGTCTCCTCGTCCTCGCCATCGTCTTGGCCGTTGTCTACCTGTTCATCGTGTCCCTTGCTGCTGGTGGCATCGCCGTTGGCTTCCTCTCTCCCTCTTTCCTCCCTGCCCCTCTCGCTGTCTGGTGCTAATGGACCCCCTTCCTCTCCCTCGCCACCGTCACCGTCACCATCCCCGTCGCTACCGCCCTCCATGCCCGCCGCCCTTTGTTTCACACTCGTCTCTGCCATGTCCGCCGTTGCCGCCGTCCTGTCTGCTGCGCTCTGTGCTCCGTGGTACAGTCGCTTATTGTTGCTCAGGATTAGCTCACGCACCAGGACAGCCTCCTGCTCGTTATTTTGGCTTGCCGATATGCATGCAAAGTTCCACGCTAGCTGCTCCTTCGTCACGTCTATCTTTTTGCAGTATCTCGCGAATGCCGTCCGCGCTTGCTGGGGTGTTATTGCGTTCGGATCCGCCCTGGTCCCCGCCCTGTATCCCATCTCCTTGCGGTGGCTCTTGTATGAGTCCCCATATGACCATGTGATTTCTTGGCCTTCCTTGACTCCTCTCTCTGCAAACAGGACCATCAC